TCCTCCTCCTCCTCCTCCGCCGCCGCCGCCGCCGCCCGAGCCCGGTGTCAAGATATAGCCAAGAAAACCGGAGGCGGGGCCGTTGTACCCAGCGGGAGCGAAAGTCCATCTACTGCCAGAGAACTAGGTGCCATAAAACTGCCAGCGCACACCCGGCTGCGAGAGCCATGATGAGCTGATCATGACATAAGGACGGCTACAAACCTTGTGACCCAGGGGATTTACCGTCTAAGAAATTGCCTAAGACGCGTGCCGAAAGAGAATATGTGACTGAATAGTGTTACATATATGATATTCGCCAACTTACTGGACTCTCACGCTGAATCTTGTCTTTGTGGAGGTGGGCGCATAATATGTTTTGTCTGCGGTTAAAAACGACTTAGGGTTAACAGCAAGAAAATGTTGCTACGCTCAATTTCCTTGACTTCCAATGGTAGCTCAGAAGAGCAGGGCAGAAATTTTTTGTTTTAAAATTGCTGAATATAATTTCTCCCCTTATAGTAGTCAAAGGTATGAGGTTAGTGTTTCCTCATCCGTTGAACTGTCAGAGGAGGGATTTCATTTACAGGCTTAATGCAATAAAAGCCCGTAGATAACATTTGCTACGGGGCGCTTCTAGAAATATATGACTAGGGTTTATCGAACGGGTTCGTGACTCCCACGGGATTTTTTCTGGACTTATTGGGTAGGATGTTAAAAGATCTTGACGGATGTTTACAATATCGGTTCTACAGCTACGTCAGAGAGCGCGACGTCCTCATCGGACAACCAAGCAAAATCCAGTTTCTCTTGTTACACTCCATCTCATTTAACTCAAAATATCCAAGTAAAATACACAACACTGGAAAACTGTTCTACAATCTACACTCAGAATGCAGACATTTGACGAACCGTCATATATGAAATTACACTACTTATTAAACGATATTTAGTTGTAAACTTCACTGAAACACTACTACTAGACGTTATTTTATGTCTTCTTTCATATTTACTATGTTTTTGGCATGTAAATGCATTCTATGCATCTAAAAACGAAGTTTACTAAATTAGAGCCATTTCTGACGTATTCGGGATATTGCGCTTTTCTAAAGAAGTCGGTATTTTTAAACAACGCAACACTGCCTTTACGATTTCTTTTATGTCTGTAATTCTTTTAGCCTTGTACTTAATTAACATAGACACTTGACTCATTAAATGGGGTCGGTTTGCGAGTGATTGGCAATCATTCGTAAATTTCGACAAATTTCATGAGTTAGGTCACTAAGTATACTTTCCGATCAGTTAAATCGTAAGGGGAGGGAATTCATTTACAGGCGTAATGCGATAAAAGCCAGTAGATTACATTTGCTATGAGGCGTTTCTCGGAATATTAGACTAGGTTCTATCCAACGGGTTCGAAAGTGGTTATGTAACTGCACGTTTGTCTCCCACACAATTTATTCTGAACTTCTTAGGTAGGATGTTTACACCGTTGGCTCCGCAGCTACGTCAGCGAGCGCGCAAAAGACGTCTTTGTCAGTAATTCCATTCTGCCTATACGCGTGGACTGCCAATAGCAATGAGACTAAGTCTTCAGTATAAAAGAGAGTTCTGTTCAGCTGGTAAACATTCACGATGACTGCATTTCTGACAATCCTCCTGAGCCTGCTGATCATCAGCTCGGTTTCTGGTAAGATGACTACATCTCCATTGCTCTAATTAATGAGATAGTTGAACTGCACCACTACATTTTCATACCACTTGACTTAGCGACCGTCAGCACAAGCGGGCTATCAAACCCGATATTGTCTTGAGCCACCTACTGACCCCTCAATCCTACATAGACATTTTCAGCTTTTCTTTCTTACTTCCATGGAATTTTTCAATAGAAATATCTCTACCTTAAAGGTGTTTTTATCTAGTACAATTTCCAAGGGGTTAATTCGGTAAAGTGAAACATGCATACAATTTAAATAGAAGGCTAATCATTCCAAGGACGGGTAAGAAAACAAAGGAAGAAGTGGAATGAAGAAAAACAATCATTTCCCGACAGCCGGAAGCATTTCAATGCGTGCCATGCTGGAAACTTCTGGAGATAGCACTAAGGTGCTGTCGTGGTTTGACGAATGCCCAAAAGGCATTTAAAAATAACAACACATATCTACCAAAAGGCTATTTTAAAATGTTTGTTGTAAAGTTGCCTGAATGCTGCATCAAACGTTTCCCATAAATGTCTCCATTTCAGAAGGCAACAAATGCCATAATGAAGGCGAGTTCTGCACAAAAACTGTCTTTCAGAGATGCTGTGGCGGACTTGTTTGCGATCTAAGTGGTTTCGCGAAAGGCAAGTGTGTGCGCTGTCTAAGTGCAAAAAAGGCCTGCTGGCGCAACCGTGACTGTTGCAGTGGAAAATGCTCCTTGTTTAAATGCAAATAGGCCACGTTGGACGGTATCCAGGAGACGGATTTTTTTTTTTTTTCTACTTGAGCTGCCTCCTTTCTGTGTTTTTTTTTGGTTGGCTGTTTTCACGAATTTACACAAAGAAAATATTGGTTTCAGTTTCAGTTTATTAAGGGAAATATAAGCGAGCGCCGTTGAACTCCCTATTGGTTACAGGTCGTCGGAGAAAAACATTGATGGAAAGGAACGTGAAAGAAAGATTTGTACATACTTGCGGACAAGTGCCAACTAATCTAAAATGAGTAATCGTTAACGATTACTTATTAATCATAAGCAGTATAAACGTGTGTAAGTTGGCGCCGGGTTATGTGAGTGGATGGAAGACTGGTAATTGGGAAGCCTGATACGCGGCATGTCTACACTTAAAGGAATTGACACAGGAGGAGATTACAGCATCGATAGGCGGGGCAGTCCACGCTGCAACCACTCTGCTACGGAAAAAGAACTTCCATCCATTGCTCCTTGCTTTACTTGCGCGCAGTTTTAGGGGATGACCGCGCAAAGTGGGCGTGTTAGTTTGAGTGGAATAATCAGTGGGATCTAAACAACAGTCTAGGCCCTAAATAATGCGGAATGTTAGTAAAGATTACCATTTAACTGCCTGTAGGAAAGGGGAAAGTGGTTGAGAGTTGACAGTCTGGTTTCGTAGAGCAGTGCTCCCAGGCCTTTTGTCCTTTTGGTCGCCCGACTCTGGACCTTCTCCAAGACGGTCTAGTTCTTGGCAGTCCATGGCCTCCACTCATGTATGACGTATTCTAGATGAGACCGCACGCAGGTGCTAAATATTTTGGAAAAGCGGTCAGGGTTAAATCCCATAAAGACTCGCTTAATGAGTTGCAACGTAGCCTTAGCTGATTTAGTCGCCTTCGCTCAGTGCAGTGTTGGTTTGAGTGAAGATGCAATCCATTCACCCAAGACCTTCTGACAGTTAAACTGTTTCTGTGGTGTGCCGTGTTGAAAATACGTCCTGGGGCTGGGGGCTCTTAAACCGCCGAGTTGAAGAAGGTTGCACTTGATTATATTGAAGGGCATAGGCCAGGGCTTCGACCAGTCTTCCAGTTTGTTCAAGTTTGCTTGCAGATGGTCTGCGTCTGCCGCGTTGTGAAAAACCTTCCACACTTTCAGTTCGTCGGCAAACAGGATTGCATCACAGTCTAGGTCCTTGACGCAGTCATTTATGAAAATGAGAAATAACGTGGGAACTAAGACTGAGCCCTGTGGGACGTCACTCACCACGCTTAACTCTGAGGACTGTTGACGCCCGATCTCCACTCTGTGGGACCGTTCAGTCAAAAAGTTCTCGATCCATACAAGAAGGCGCCCACAAATTCCAGCGTTGAGTGGTTTGTGCAAGAGACGTTGATGAGGAACGCTAGCGAAGGCCTTTTTGAAGTCGATGCAGATGGCGTGCACCACATTGCCTTCATCGTGTGCTTTGGTCCAGCGTTCGAGCGAAAAGAGCAGATTCGTGAGACAGGACCTACCACTTCGAAAGCCGTGTTGGTAATCGAAAAGGAGGTGGTTCTGCTCGAGGAACTGCATCAAGGTCTTCTAAATGATCTTCTCCATGATTTTGCAACAGATGGAGGTAAGAATAACTGGCCTGAATTTATCCGCAGACGCACAACTTCTACCCTTAATTGGAGGAGTGATGGTAGCGGACTTCCAGTCAGAGATTAGGCACCCGGTAACAAATGACGTTTAAAAGAGGAAGGCTAGCGGGTTGGAAATTTCGTGAGCTGAACGATTGTTTCCATGAAGAAGACTGCTTCAAGGGTAGGCGCTTCTTCGTCTTCACAAGTGGGTGAGAAAAAATCAGTTTTGCTTTTCACGACGGACCGATGTTAGCCTTATCCTTGTCATCTGGGATTTCCGTTCCCTTGGCCGTTCGCAGCAGTGGGATGGCATCTTTGTTCCATGTACTCTATCTTATGTAGCTGTAAAGAACTTTGGAATTAACCATGGCACGTTTCAAAAGATCCTTTACAAAGTCTTTCCGATCTTTGGCGATGTGAATTTTGACCTGATTTCTTTGTAGTTTATAACTGCTCAGGGATTCCGGCGTCCGGTCAATTAGGAAACTTTTTCCATAGGTTCCTCTTCTTGTTAACTCCCTTCCTAAAGGACGGAGCCGACTAGCGGAGTCCATTCGTAAGTCCTCTGCGCATGATGGGGTAGTGGTTGGAGATGAGGCTGTGGACTATCTCTCTGAACTGACAACAAGCCTCTTCGATATCGCTGGAGAGAGCGGATGCCCAGTCGATAGGACGAAGATCCTCTATCGTCTGTTCTTAGTCGCCGCGTCAAATATTGGGTCGGAAACCGATCGGTTGTGCAGGCAGAGAGAATAAAGTTTATTCCCACATGAGAACTAAATGGTCAGTCTGACCCAATGGGGGGATGCAATCCACAACGTCAATGTTGTCAGACGACTTGGTGAACTCAAGATCGAGGCAATTAATTTGTTGGCCCTCTCGAACTCTCGTTGGAAACATTGCGTGTTGGGTGAGAAGCAGATTGTAGGAGATACGCAGTAGCTGCTGGTCAAATGCTGTTTCAGAGCAATCGGTTGAGGCCGAGCTTCACTTTATGTGAGGTACATTAAAATCCCCAACGATGAGAGTATTTGGCCGCGTTGAAAATAATCTGAGCTCCTCCAGCAGTTGGGCAACAGCGTCAGGGTCATTTCTCGGGGGACTTTGGGAGCCCCGTGCCCTTATGGTCATCCATCCGTACTTCAAATCATTTTGGCAGTTTTTTCTGAAACGTACAAGCCACTCTTAACAAATATTATTATGCCGTCATCCTTTCTGTTTTCTGTCTCTGCGGAACAGTTGAATTCCAGGGAGCATGAGCTCCCTAACATCAACCTGTTCGGACAGCCATGTTTCTGTTATTAAGGTAACATCAGGGTTGTGGTCGTAGATATGGATACGGCGTCCATCCAGTTTTGAAAGCACATTTTAAGCTTTAGTATACATGAAAATGAGTTTCGAGTTCATGCGAGATTTGCTTACAACACCTACACGTTCCACAGGGGTACTTGTGGGCGTTACATTCTCTCGGCAGGTGAGTAGTCCGGCTGAAAAAGCACTCCTTTTTGGGAATTCTTCAGTCGAAAATGCCTGGAAAGGATTAGCTTCATCTGCTCATTGCTACCTAGAACAATTTTTAAGGGTCTTGGTCGCGTCTGTGCAGCGGTGTTTGCACGGCTACCAAGACGGAACGGCTTTAGGACTGTGATATCTTCCGTTGGTTGCAGCATTTAATTTAGGAGTTTCCAGAATTTCTCTAAGTCAGCAGCGACTCGTTCCCTCGGGGTACTGGTAGCGGACTCTGGGCAGCTCTGAATTATGATGCAGGTATCCTTGTTAAGCATCCGTCTGTCTTCTGCGGTTTGGGCGTCGGTGGCTGGTACATTGGCCTCGTTGGTGTGGGCCGGCGAAATGTGTTTTGCCTACATTATCGTTTCAACTACATTGTCATTCCCCGAGCATTTGCATAAAAACTACTTAAGCAGCGGATGTTCATATTTTGGACGTGGAAGAGACAATTATCTAAATAGTCTTATTTGAGGTGCTGATTCTTAGGCGGCGTTAAATTGTTCGGATCCCGCGGAAACCGAGTCCTGTGAAATGCTCTTGATTTAATCGCAAATAGGTCAAGTATGTCAGTTTGTGGAGGTCAAGGATATGAGATCACCTTAAACTACGCACAATAAGTTCGTTTCGTCTTGTGTCAGAAGTCAGGGAGCTGTGAGGACTAGTTTATACACAGGACAGGTTGCCGTAAGTTGGTTGTTTGCTTGCGACAGAGATAAGCGTCCGCCCACGGAGAATGTCAGTAGCGGTGTGAGTGTGGTGTTTACGAGGGAGTGAAGGTTTGTGTCAGCAGGAGGGGGTGACTGGCTGAGTGTTGGTTGTGTGATTGGACAAATTGGGGGAGGAATAAGGGGCGCATGCACACAATGCCTCACGGGCATCAAGCCAGGGCGTTAGACGCACGTGAGGTGAAGAAAGTTTGTGAGGTCAGCCGACAGTCACTGAAGTTGGACCGGAGGTGTCTGAGTGATCTGGGTGATCGTGTGTCAACAGCTGTCGCGGCCATTGTTCGACAAAACGGAGCCGGAGAAAAGGGGGACTTGAGCGGCTGCTACAAGTTTGTTGTTCGTACTTTCAGTTAGAACCGACTCCCCTCGTTGTTGGTAATTTCGTTGGTTGTTTTTATGTACTCACATAATAAATGTCTGCATGTGTTTTGTCGGCTTATCTACTCAAAGTACTACTTGAGTAGGTCATTCTTCATGTGGGTTATTACAAGCTGCATAAATTTCTGGATAGAATAACTACTTAAAAAGAGAGATTTCAGACAGGATTGATAAGGAGAGGACTATTATCAAGATAGTCTTGATAGGATGCTGATTTTCGCACAACCTAGCAATCCTTCGGAATCAGCCGCCGTAGATCTTTGTGAAGTGTATATCGACAAAGTTTGTCTGGACCCTTGCTGACCTATCTGTGGTAATAAGCCATTGATGCGCCACTCTCGGGTTGCAAATAGACAATGCAATGCATGTCTTGGTCGGCAAGCATTCTTCAGTTGCTTGTTGTCAGTCGCCATGCCGCCGAATACGTGAAATATAATGCGGATTGATCTGGGTGCACCACTCGCATATAATTAAGGGGACCGTGCCCTTGATAATATTTCAAGGGGCTGAAGGAAGGAGATAGGTGTGAGTTGAAAGATCAGTTTGCTTCTGATCAACTAGTTCCTGGAACTCGCATCTTCGCTTGTATCGCAGATCATTTTGCATCCTCGAGCTATGTGAGCTTGGCTGTGCATGGCCGAAAGCTCCGACATGCATGCATTTTTGTCTTACCCGTCAGTTCGACTTTTTTACTCGAAAATGTTCACCGTGTGCTCCACAGCCGGACTGAACAGGCGCGGTGAATTGCGCCGGATTTAGTTTACAGTGAGAGCGGACATGCGCAGCCCTAAACTCCTTCCCTCCTCCTCCTCCTCCTCCTCCTCGTCCCCACTCGGGTCCGGTGTTAAGATACAGTCAAGAAGACCGGAGATGCGTGAAGGCGCAAGTGGCTAGCGCGGCCGGACCTGCACGTGGCACATTACTCCAAACCCCCTGGTCCACAACGGCACAACAGAAAAAGAAAGATGACTAGGCATCCATGCTTACGGCCTGTGCGCGCAGCGAGAGCGAAGGCGCATCTACTGACAGGGAAACAGCTGTCGACAAACCGCCAACACACACCAGACTTCAAGACTCTTGGAGTGCAGATCCTGGCATAGCAGCCGCATACAATCGTTGAGGCCCATTGAATGATCGGATGCGTCTGTGTATATCACGCTCGTCTGGCAGATTGTTCGCGCACTGTGTGCTCGAACTATGGCATAGGACCTATTTTGATATCGGCTGATGGGCTTAATGCAATACATGTGGAGATGGTATGCACTTAATCAGCCATTGTAAAAGTGAGAAGTTACTCCATACATTGCGTCATGGGTTTGATAAATGATGCAGCGAAAAATGATGCACCACGCAAAAAGGCGGAATTTACTTATCGTCTGCCAACTGTCAAGCAGTCACTCGAAAAGCAGTACTTTTGAGAAAATTACGTGGACGCGGATGCCCGAGCACCAAAGCTCGGTTGGAGGGTCATACTGGAATTCTCAGATGGGTCGTACACATCGGCATTGGGTTTAAACTAGTACCTGTGCTACCGGTATGTTAAACAATGCGGAAGCAGAGTACTACTAGCTGCCTGTGTGTCGCTAATGAATATTGCGCGGTTGATCCGCTGTAATTTATGGACTGCCGCTCAAGTATTCACATACCCGTGTTGAGCCTATACAGCTGTAGAACGGCAGATTTAATGTAATGTGTCACTCAATTTCTAAGAACTTTGGAATCTGATAGCAGCTCGAATTATCGAATACCCTGAACATCTGAGACCCCATCTGATGCAAACACGGATTTCTTGAGGTACTAAAAACGAAAAGGTAAATCAAAAATGGCAGATGTAGTAGCAATAATCCTGCCTAAACAGACGTGTGTTTAAAGAAAATCACCTTTACCAACACACACGCAATTAACGGTGCGTATGTGCTCACTCGCTTTAAATAAGCTCCTGAAATAAGCGGATTTCCAGACTTTCCTGCTGACGACCTGAATTTAGAAGTGCCTCCTCACTCAATTTACTTTTTAGTCATTTTATGCGAAAAATTTAGCTGCCTTGGAACACGTCGTAAAAGCCAACTTTGTGTTGCAGTTAAATGGATTATAAACAGAGGTGATTTGCCGGGTCGATTTAAGAGTTTGTTTTAAATTTCTTTCATAAATTCTTCGTAGGTATAAGTGATGAGACCCGCGTATTTATGTTTCACTGCTATGCTGACCATATGTACTGAAAATAAGTAGCAGCTCAGCGAGGTTGCTATTTTATGGGGAAAATATATTTCTTTAATCTGAAAACTACTCGGAAAATGTGTTTCACGAATACATGAATTAATTAGGTAAACCGCTAATGAGGTGGTAGAGTTGAAAGACAAAATGAGGCCCCATGACATTCATTTTAAGTCCTAGTAATAGGTATTAGCGATTTTAAATATGCCTATGTTACAGTCTGTAACTCGTCTAAATCTGCTGTGTCTTGCGACACACTACTCAAAAATGCATTGCCTAGTGCGTTCTTCGACAATAATTTTGCATGCAAGTGGTAGTAGTACATATCTTATTGTACGTGAGAAATTTTATAGGCCATGCAAAAGTGAGCCACAACACTGTCACGTGTTGAATGAGGTGTATATCAATTTTTAAAATTGGCCTGACCAAGCAATCCGCCTTGTGCGGCCCACGGCTGGTAGGGTCTCAAGGTCACGTGGAATTAATCGATACAATTCAATTCGAAATCACATCACTCCAGATCCAGACGAACTGCGCGATGTTGGCTCGTGCTAGATTCTATTTACGTAACGTGCTACCAGTGAGAAGGTCTGTGAACCTAGCTGAACTGTTCGCTATACTGTTTGAGGAGGATTTTTTTCGTTTGTATTCTACCTTACCCACTTATGCAGAAAGTGGTAAGTTGGTATTCCGGCCTCTTTTAAAATTTCTGAACTCATCAGCATACCATCCAGATCTCCAGTGCTGCACTTCTGCATGAATTGTAGAGAAGTAACTTAACTCTTTTCACTTCCAGCAGCCGATAGTGTTGGCATAAGTACGGTAGATGCCGAGCAAGGCTTAAGCATAGCTGTCGTAGTCGAATGGACTGAGGCTTTCACAGAAGAACATTCATATGAGATCCCATGACTGATAGACCCCATGCAGACGAAAATGCCGAACTGAGTTAATCTGGCATTAACAGATTTGTTAGTGTGAACAGAGGTAGGAAGAGTCGATGAAACCGTTGAATGTAGAGTACTTGGAGTTTGAATAGGTTTGTTTATAATTAGTGGAAACTATCAAATTGGGCTGTAGGTGATGTCTGAGAATATAGTGTTGACATATGTAATATCGCGCAACAATTAGGGTACAAGTGTTCTGAGCATCATCTGTTTTCCAGAAAATATGTCAGGCAGCGTCATATTACAATAAACAAACAGGGAACTTAGTTTCTTCGTTTAACTCAGCCCAGATTTGTTCGTTTAAAATGACCTTGATATTTCATTGCAGACTCCACTGTATCGACACCGTCCGATAGTCAACCTACTAGGGTCCCTGTAAGTACAGATGCCCCAGAATCAGAATTTTCACCTTCAATAGCCTGTTCGGAGCATGCAGCTGTAAATTCCCATAAGGAGTCCCCCGTTGACCAAGAAGCCAGCTTAAAGCCTGACACCTCCGAATGGAATACTATCACCGAGGCACCTCCTATGCAATGGAGATCGACTGACTCTCTGCGGTATGAGAAAAGGTCTGAAGGGACAGATGCTGAACAGAGTGTCAGCCGTGCGAGTGAAACCAGCAAAGGAGGATCGGGCACTATGGAAGGAAACCTGAGTAGCATTTGGGACACACGAACACCCACGCATCAGGAGGCGTGGGAGTGTGGAACGGACTGTGGATGTAATGACGGAAGCAGTTGTACTTCATCGACATGGTCGCAATTAGTGGCGTGCAATGAATGTCCGGGAAAGCAATCGATAAACGTTCGAGCACCGATAACTGGATCGATGCCATCCTCTCGATCGCGGAGGTTAGCACCTGCACAATCATCCCCACCATTCCCGTCTACTCCACCGGGACCGCTATCGACCTCGCTGGCCCTACCAGCTACACAATTTACGCCATCGCTTCCCCGACCCTCTCCACCGTCTTCAGACCGACTGTTCTTCAAGCGGTTGAGGCCACCATCGAGACCATCATCTCCGCCAGCCGCATCAGCTCGCCCATTCAGGGCGCCGTCGCCGCCACCTATATCACCGTCACCGCCTATATCACCAATGGTGACATTAGACGCACTGACGTCGTCACCACCACCGCCATCATCCTCACCCCCACCCCCACCCCCTTCTCCGCCACCACCGCTATACGCTGCCGACTGCCTGCCTGTGGAGGAGGAAAAAGATTCCTCCGCCGAATACCCCCCTGAAACCTGCGCTTTGCATCTGCCTCTGCGAGGGGGCGGCGATTCTCCTCGAAACACTCTGTTACTGCTTCCCCACATTGGCAACACGGAAAGAACAAAAGTCAAGTGGACTCAGACAACCTGCGCTTCGAATCTGCCTCTGCGAGGTGACGGCGATTCTTCCCGAAACCCTTTGTTACTGCTTCCCCTCATTGGCGACACGGAAAGAACAAAAGTCAAGTGGACTCAGACAACCTGCGCTTCGAATCTGCCTCTGCAAGGTGACGGCGATTCTTCCCGAAACCCTTTGTTATTGCTTCCCCTCATTGGCGACACGGAAAGGACAAAAGTCAAGTGGACTCAGACAACTTCATTGGTGGACAGCGGAGACAGAATTGTTCAGACGGAATTGCCTTTTACTGGTATGCTGTTCTCGTAAACATTAACTGCTTAGACATTTAATGACTGGTTTGCTTCTAACCTCATTATCTACAGTTATTACTTCAGTGTTAAGGAGAATAATATATAATTATCATATTTTGGCTTTGCCGATAATTACCCTCTTCTCTTATGTATGACGGTTTTATAAACGTAAGTGCACGCTGGGTACCATTTAAAGCAATCTCTATCATTGGTTTTTGTAGGTTTAGACAAAACTCATGTTCTGCAGCTCTCATCAACAACTGTAAGTGCTGTTCCTACTAAAACATTTGTGGAAATTTTTTTGAAACCTCCAGATTACTATGTGTTGTTATTTAATTTCAGCGACGAGGACGTCGACGTCGGAGACAACTTGGTGCGGTGCTACGCAGGATATTTTGTCTCGGTGCCCAAGATGATTTTTGAACTCCTGTACATAATAGTTGCAGTCTTTGAATTTTTTAATATTAGTGTAAGGATATAAAGCAAGTGATATACTTCTGTCCAGAGAATGACCTTCTTACTTACATGCTAGAATTTCTGCGAGGAGAGAATTTTGCTCCCCACTATTTATCCAGAGCGTTTGCCCAAGAGTGTTTTTGAACCCCTGTATATAATAGTTGCTGTTTTTGAATTTTTTAATATTAGATTAAGGAAATAAAGCAAGTGATTGATTTCTTTTCAACGACTGCCTTTCTTGCCAACATGATGGAATTGTTGAGAGGAGGTTTGCTGGATTCATGCTACTCGTCCTGGAAGTTTACAGAGGATTATACGAGTGTGCTCTCGAGGAAGGTTGGCTCACTAGGCCTGCACAATATTTCGATATATTCCCCGTCCCCGGTCTAAGTATTGGCGCTCAGACACTGGTGAACCATAGCACAGGTACTATATTTGCAGCGTCAGCTAATGCGTGGGTTACTTTGGTGGGCTGATGAGAAGAATTGTATAGGATAATGCCCTCAAAGCCGTCGTAACTTAGTGCTTCGTGGTTGGTCTCGACCGGCATTATTTCACCGTACTTCTGTTTGCCAATGACAGAAGAAATCTCGTTATGAATAGCAGGGTGCTGTTGGGAACTGACGTCTGTTTTACTGTCTGACATTTCATCCAGGCATGAATGGTTTTCAGGGTAAGGTGATACCATACTATCAGCACAGGTACTAACCACGTAATATTCATTATCCTAAAGTATACTACTAGCTGCCTGTCGGCAGTTAATGAATGTTACGCGGTTAGCCGCTGTGGCTGATGGACTTCGACCCAAATATTCATGCATAAAATTCATAGATGTGATTAAACTTGCGTCATCCGACGGGACCTTGTAGCTCGAGGGGTTAGAGTGTTGGCTGTACTAAAGCCTTCGCATTACTGCGTGGGCTCGAATCCCACCGAGGCGCCGAGTTTTTCGCCGTTGGGCCAATATGAATACATAAAATTCTCGGTCTGATCCTATAGACGTTGAATAAATTTATCTACGCCAAGTATGTAGATAATTTCTGAGGAAATTAAAATGCGACACTACATGGTTTTTCCCTGACAGAGTACATTTGCAAAAGGCGAGATTGCAGATGCTTGAGTAAAACCAATGACGGACAGGGCTTTTTTGGGTCTGTGGCAGACAGGATGGTGGTTTAGATTGGCATCATTGCATTTCGTCAAGCACGCTGATTCCAAACGCTTTGCAGTCCAGTGTAGTTTAGGCGGCCATCAACACCAGGTATGACTTCGAAGCGAAAGTGCAAGAAAAAGAGGTCAGTATTTTGAAGCGATGCGGAGAAGTAACCATGAGTATGAGCTCTCAGAAGTTTTCAGGCAATTTTCAAAAAAACTCCAAGCGGTAAAAATTTAACATTTTGACTGATCTCAGAGGAAAACCTTATAGAGAGATATACCGGAATGGGATAGGAGGGCCCGTAGTTGTCCCGACGCGTTGGGGCAGACTAAGCAATCGAAGTACATCCACTGGAGCCAATCATACAGTTATTTCTCGTGCTTACTATTTAGCCGTAATTACTGTTTCCAGTGAACCAACCACACCCTGCTTCCGTTAATCTACCGCAAGCTGCTACCTCTGCGACGGCTGTGGCCGCGATCAGCTGTCTGTCACCCCTTCGGCGCCTCCTTCAGAATCGCCAATATCCATACCATTGTTAGGGTTAAAAGCATTGATATCACCACCACCATCATCACCACCTTCGCTCTCAGCGCACTCGGCGCCACCCCTATTTCTCTCACCTTAGGTAGAAGCAGCTAGCGGTTACCATAGTGGAACCGGAGGGTTCTATCTGCCTCTCAGTGTGGGCGAAGATTCGCCCCGGAATTCACGGTTACAACTTCGCCATATTGATGATGTGCAGGGAACGAAGGTCAAGTGGACTCAGACGGCTCCAGTGGTGGACAGCAGAGGCAGAATTTTTTCCGAAGCAAACAGTGCGCCGTTCTCATAACCGCTATATGCATGTGGACTGGCTACCTCGCTTGTCTTCGATATTTATCACCGTTCAGTGCTCGTTCCAATCGAGAGAGAGAGAAGGGTGATGTTTACATAGTTAGGCTTCAGGTTAGGTTTTCCGACCGAATTTCTGGTTCAACGGTCTCTGACATGGGGCACGCTGTCAGCACCCCAAAGGAAATTGTCTGCCATTGATTCTTACTTTTGAGGGAAAAACTCAAATCCTGCCATTCACGCCAGAGTCTGTATGTACTGTACTAATTACGACACTGCACTGTATTGTATTTTTAATTACAAATTATAGGAACAAGAATGCCAAAATTAGACCAGGGTTTCCTGTCTGACAGCCTAGGAGGACACTGGACTACTAAGTATGCTAAGTATCCACTTAGTTTTTGGTATTCTTATGGCTGCAACTTCAGCAGTAAATACATGTCTGATAGAAAAACCCGACCGGTATTTGTGGAAGTCGACAATGCCCTACCGAGCCAGGCAGTTGACGGTGCATTTCTAAGGGGTACCTTAGAAGGAAGCAGGTCTCCTAGTCTATTTAGGCGACCCAGTGATTCTGCACAACTTTATTTCCTACCTACGGTTCAATTTTGCAGTGCCCCAGTATTATTGCATAGTGGAGCAGGATATACACTTACGGTGTCATTTATTAGGTAGTATCCAGAGACCAATTATCTTTGGGGGATCAAAGTAAAAGGATGGTGTGGCACAATGCAACTTGAAGGAACGATGGCGTAGTACTTCATGTTTGCCGCTTATTGGCGTTATTCTACCTGATTTCTCGATTGCGAACAACAAGTTTTTAATTTCGCCGGGCTGCGCCCCGCAATGTTGGATAATCACGAGGCACAAAGCGACAGTCGTGGCTTGTTGCTCGATGGCTAATCCCCGCTGTTCAACAATGGGGACGACTTCTTGTCTTTGTGAGTAGTAGATTTCTAATGCGTCATAACCGTGTCGATGAGGTCGAGCGCGAAACTCCATTCATTCTGAGCAACACATCGGACAAACCGCATACTCTCGGTGCCTAATAAATGAGCTCGTCTCCTTTGAATACGAGAGACCGCAAAAGTTTAGCAGTGACAACGGCAAAGAGGATAAGAGCAGAGGTGGCTGTGGTGGTTTTGTTGAGGGTGCCAACTCATCTAACGCCAACAACAGTGGAGGTATTAATGGTGTCACATAAGACAATACCGATGCTGGTAAGGACTCCCTACTGGTGAAGATACCGGGATTAAAATTCGAATGATCTTAGCGGGTTTCAAAGCTGACATATATTGTACGATTGATGTGGAATTTGTGCCGAGAGAGCCAACATGGTCAAGCCTTGTGGTGGTGTGGACGGCTTTCAGAGTGGTTCAGGCGGCCACGATAAAACCAGATAGTTAGGATATGCTGCGCCTGTAAAGGTCGAAAAGACGACATCAGTCCTCTCGGGCGCCTAGACCGATACTGGGGGGAGGGGGGGGAGGGGTATCACAATACCTCTAGAAATGACTGCGAGAGTGGAGATGGTGGCTGTGGGGAAGGGGTTGGTAATCGTTGATCAAGATTGTGGCAACCAGTGAAATCCCAATGAATTGGACGGGCACAAGGGTGGCCCGCGAAATTGTCTTACGAAGTCTCAACCACTTATGTCAGGGATTGCGTACGCGCGTTTAACAATGAAGAGGTAGACTAGGACCTGAAGCTCCCAGCAACGGCAGCTGCACGATGCGCTTCACCTGCGCGCCGACGAACTGTTCAGTGACCATTTTGTCAAGCGTTCTGTCATTACGCTAAGATGGAGTTAGTCTACATAGACGGAGTAACGTGGTCCCCCACAATCGTCACAGTCGCGCCCACTATTCAACACCCCGTTCACGCCATAACCACCACCCTTAATCACGCTGGCTCCCTTGCTACCAAGCCCTGTTAAATTGTCCATAAGCTTGCCGCCCTTGAAGCCGATGAGACCATCAATGCAGCATCACCATCCTCGCCCGACGTAGGCCATGACAGCAGCACCGTCTAAGTCGAAATCAATTCAATCCCTCTTTACGTTTTCAACTAGTACTTGACTTATTGCTAATAATTCACTGAAATTTTATTGGACTGCATTTTCTTTGCCAGTCGTCCTACGTGCAGACGGCAGCTT